GGGGGTAAGGCAAATGATACTCCTTATGGATGTTCTGCTACCAAATTTTTCCTATAATCTTTAATACATCTAGTAAGAATGTGGCTTTCATGAATATACGGGAATAAAACATTTGCTTTGCTTCTTTCTTTCTATTCTCCATTTCAGTGAAAAAATTTTCTTGCCTGAACTGCTAGTCATTTTTGAATGCAGAGTTTTTTGCTTACCCCAATCGGACACAATTTTTGTCTCACTTTTACCTGAAAGCTCAACTTTGAATAGAACCATTTATTGTTCTACATCAGCACCATAAGTAATTTTTTGTAAAAATGAACGAATCACAAAAGTATGCATCAAAAATAGAATTGCCTTGAACTTGTTAAGTATCTCTCTTTTAAATCTACAAGGGGCGCTATTTTAATTGTTTTCATTGGTTTCATGTCAGAAATTTGAGATTTTTTTTTGGCAGTGTAATTCTATGGTCTAATTTTTAAAGCTTAGCTAGCGTAATTCTAGCAGCAGCCTCAGGCTGCAATCACGACGCGGAAAAAAATTTACGAGATTTTCACACTAAAAAGTTTTCATAGACTGGAACACTTAGGGCAAGATACAGTCTTCCTTTGCTTGAGAAAAAAACGAGGGGCGTGAGGACGTAAACAACAACTGGTAACCGTAGAGTTTATCAAGGTTCTCGAGTTTTCTGATATTTGGAAATTTTGAAAAATCAACGTCATGAAATCCTCTTTTTCTTATTTTTATTCTTTGCTGAATATTTCCAGATACTTGGACCAGTTTCGGGATCCGGTTGAGATGGAGACAGAAATCCTGAAAAAGCGATTATCAGCGCGGGGACTCCGTAAAAACCCGAGACGTCCAAAATATCCAGATATAAACTACAATGAGAATAAAAGGATTTTGTCTTTTTGGCAACACGAAAGGTTGTTAAAACAAAATGTTGGTGCGGGAAGGTTCTCTGCTCTCTGGAATAATCGGATCGACTGAAAAGACTTGAATTATAAAATTAATGAAAGTAGATTAGATGAGAATTGGTTTTCTACTTAGCTGTTTTTTTTCACCGTTGCCTTTATTTATCGTTTTAGTATAGTTTTTAGTTGGATTTTAATTCATAGATTCTTGGGTTTAGGAGGTTCAGAGTTGCTACTCCTGTGGATATTTTAACATAAGGATAAGACGTGGTACTGGGGCAAGAAGAGGGAAGAGAAGTAATTTTTAGTCTGGGAGACTTCCATAAAAAGTGGAGGATTCACTGCTTGTTAAAAGGTCGTTTTATGTTATTATTAAAACGCGTTTTGCTTTTTTTCATCCTGCAAAAAGCTAAAACATACAGCTTTTCAAGGCTTGCGTGTATTTTTGGATATCTTTCTACCGTAGATCTAGAGGGAAAGATGACCGCGAAACTGGAAAACGAAACCCTTATCAACACTGGGTTAAAAAGATGAATGGTAACGAAATGGGTAGCGCAGTTTTACTGAGTAAAAAATTTCACAAATTTTGTTCATTTTCTAATTGTCACCTCTTCTTGTCCTTTGCATAAAACCATTACGTAACAACGATGGGAGAAAAGTATTAAAGGACCAGAGCCTGTGGAGTACTCTTTTTGAAGCAAAAAGCTGCTGTGAAAATTTATAATTTGTTTGCCAAGGTGCTGGTGCATCGTAAGACTGGGCTTGTTTTGCAGTAGTATTCTAAATTCCGCATGCCAAAAAGTGGCTTTAGAATCATTCTGGTACGCCTAAGTGAATATCTAAACTCGCGCAAACGTAGTTCACAAAAAACGCCTAGAAGATTAAGCAAAAGTTATTCCTGTCGTTCTTCAAAGAAGCTTTTGATTAGGATCAGCTACGCCCCAGCTGTTTATCACGATTATCCGTTGGAGGACCTAGGTGGAAAAAGCAATTTTTTTTAAAGGTACAACTAGCTGCGCAAAATAGTTTCACGACTTAGCCACTTGTTTTAGCTACTTGACGTTATGTTACCAGTAGCTTTAGATTGTTGCGTGTCTTCTCTAAACACCCTTATCAACTAAGTGCGAAATCGGTTTTGATCAGCAGTA